GAGGACCGGGCCGAGGCGGGAGACGGGAGAGCGACCCCTGCGGGGGCGAAGTGGGCGTCCGATGCCCGGGGAAAAGGGAGCTGGGCCGCTCGCTTCCCGCTGCAGCCTTCGACGCCGCAACGTGGAAAAGCTGCTTTTAAATAATATTTGTAAAATCCTCACTGGTTTAGTAGTAGCTGCAGGAGGGATGGGTCGTGCCCCCCAGTCGCGCTCCCCTCTGCACGCAGGGGTCTCGTTTTCGACACCCTGCGAATGAGACACCCCTGAACAACAACATCACAATGAATTTAACAAAATAAAAACACATTTCCAACGGTGTAAGCGGGTCTGATGAGAACAGATGGGATTCACCCAAGAGGTCACCTCCAAGTTGCGCCTTCAGCTTTTCCTTTCCTTATTTACAGAGAGCCTTTCGAAACCAAACACATTTGGAGGCGTTTTAGTTGTTTCCCTTTCCGCTCGTCGGTTCAGGACCTGATGCTTTTCTAAACTCAGCGCTGTGAAGTTTGACCCAAGGAGGGTAAAAGCTGAAGATATTTTTTTACTGAAGCAACGTGGAGGGGAGAATCAGAGCAAGAAATAACACCTGCTTCCTGCGTTTGGAGAGAATGGTGCTAATATTCACTTGTCAGACCTTAGGGGTTTCCATCGGGAAGCAGCAGTTTTGCCTACATATTTCTACAGTAATGATTCTGTAACCGACAATAATCCAGAGAGGGTTAAAACGTGATTCGTTTGCATTTAATTCAACCAAACTCTTTGCTGCTAATGCCTACAATTTTCCTGTCACTAGATCAAAAGAGTCCAGTATTATATGCACATACACTGGCTGAGAACGTGGTTTTCTGAGGGTGAAGTCCAGCTTTTTTTAGCACGCTGCAATCCATGCCAACAGACTGTCATTACAACTCACTCCTATCAGAGCTTCACAAGCCCCCTGCAGACGTCCGAACAATGCACCTGTAATCGCACGGAAACTGCATCCATTTGAAGCTCTGTGTTCCAGCGAGTGGGCTGTGGAAATTGAGGTCTTCTTGCAATTGCCAATTATGTTGCTGGAGAAGTGTGGCAAGTTACTCTGGGAGGGGTGACTGGGATGATACCAGAGATGTAAGGCAAAGATGCAATGGCAAAGGTAGATGAGGACTTAGGGGAAATGATAGGAAAGACACCTTGGCAGTGTTCTCCCAACAAAAGAAAAGCAGGAATTCAGGAAAGTTAAAAAGTAGCAGTTAAAAACTGATTAGGTATGTTGCATAATTAGGCCATGCCTGTGCAACTGGTGAGGCCAAGAACTTCACAAGATTCAGAAAGGGACTGGACATGTATATGGGTATCCAGAATTGTAATACTTATCACTAATACAAATTTTGGGAAGGATGGTAAACCTCCTGCTTTAGGATTTAAGCCAGGGGTGGGCAATTATTTCGGACAGAGGGCCACTTACTGAGTTTTGGCAAGCCATCGAGGGCTGCATGACAGGCAGCCAGGGGCAGATAAATATTAATTTTCTAAACTTTTAGGGGCCCTCTGGGCTGGATAGAATGGCCTGGCAGGCCGCATCCAGCCCCCAGGGCTGCATTTTGCCCACCCCTCGCCAATGATTGACTGTTAGAGATCACAATGAGACCTAACTTGAAGTCAGGTTATCCCACATCTGCCTGTTTCAGGGACCTTACATTTTCCTTGAGTATCTGGTGCTGGGCACAGAAGACAGAGGCAAGGTACTGAATTAAAAGGATAGTTTCACAATCCCGATCCTCCTCAAATGTCTACCGTGACATGAGATTCTATGGAAGAAGGTCACACTGGTTTAATTTAAGATGTCATTTTAATCTGATTTAGATAACCGGTGCAGAAGGCTAGGGAGACAGGCCCATTTCAGTTTAGAACCAGCCTCATTTCAGCTTAACTTAAAACAATGAGGAACAGATTGAAACCAAATAAATAACCAAAATAAGAAGGGTTTACACCAGAATAACTGGTTTAAAATCCAAGTAAGCTGAAGTTGTGCAAGTAGGTTGTGTAGATAAGGCTTGATTTTCTTGGGGGAGCTTAGGGAAGAGGCAGTGGGGGAAGGTGAAGTGGACAACATTCATAGGCATTTGGGAAAGGCACAGGCTGTAACTGAGAAGCCAAAATATGCAAAGGGCATAGATCTGGGATAGATCACATCAATGCTCTGAACGTGCAATGTGCTGTATAAATGCTAAGCATTACTATGGTATTCATTTTAAAATAAGGTGATTCAGAATTACAGGACTCTCTTCCCAGATGCCCTAAAGTGCCCATACTCAATTCAATCTTCATCCTCGTTTCTGACGTCTATTTATTCTTTTTTTAGTACCAATTCTATTTAATGTTGTCCCTCATTGCAAGTTTGACATTTCCAATTATGAGACTGACCTGTGGATTGGCTTACACTTCTGCTCCAAACGGATGTTGATTTTACCTTTTAATGGTTACAAGTGGGAAGCAGCACAACTATAGAGTTTTATTTCTAGAAGCAACTGAATGTTGAGTTGAACACTGCCACCCTCTGGTTAGCTGCACTGGAAGGTTTTTAGACATTTCTTTCAGTAGAAATCAAATACTGAATCTTTGTGTTTAAATTCAATTACTAAATTACCATCTAAATTACGCGTTTGGATCTGCCATGCATCTTGTACTATGCTGGGTTTAATCTTTAACAAGATTAACTCAGAATTATTTTAGTATAAATGTGTTTTGTTCACAGGCTGTTGCCTAAAGTAATTTTTATCCTTGATTCAGCAGTTTATTATAGGTAGAAAGTTTATAGCAGAAAGATAGCAGCTTTAGAGAGAGTAACTTTCCCAGTCCTAATCTAACCCAGGCAGATGCAAGGATTTGTACATAAAGTCCACAATGCCACAATCATTATTACTCTAGTCCATAACAACATCGTTCCTGACCTAACGATGAATCTGTATCAACAGCACAAATTCTAGCATGGGGAATTTTTATTACGGATACTTGTCTATACAGACATTGTAAGACCTGAAAGTCTCGCAGTTTTAAAGAGCCTGCTTTCCAGATGACGATGCCAACTGCCCTCACTAAGGAAAGGCAGTCCTGCGATAAAGGCAGAGAAGT